CTATTATACGCCAATTCGATTTTCAATTCAATTTTAAACACGTGGCAAATTGGTTAAATTGTGCACTTCTCATACGCTATCCATACTAAATACTCAAGTAAAAGAACAGGTAGTAAAGAGAGTTAGAGTATGATTACCAGGAAATTAAGAAGAGAAAGAGAGAAGAAAAAAAGGTGCCGGGAAATACTAAAGTCAACATGCAAGCAAGTATAATAAAATATGTGTATGTATTTAGGTAGCACCTTGAAAAATTCGCCGTGCGGTTCAAGTGCGCAGATCACCAACAATATAAATTCGTTAAGAGTGGGCGTAAAAATTTTGGTTTTTTTCTCACACAGATTCATTCTATTGTATATAAAGAGATATGGTACAAGTCTGGGTATTAAATCATGATCACACATCAAATTTATACATATCGTCGTTTAAAGTACAAAACCGCGTATCAAGAGAATGCAAAACCTTGTATGTGAGGTTGCCAACATTTTACAAGAGAGAGTAAAACCTGTCTTATTTCAGCAGGGTTCTCTCTTTTATCCTTAATTATCTCTACCATTTATATTTAAATATCGATACATATTTGGCTATAAATGGATAAGGCTTGATGGCTTGAGGAGCTTCCGGCGAGCAAATCTCATTATTGGTACAAATGTCAGTTACGGGGTTTTGCAGAACCACGATACGCTGTATTGTACTTTGAACGACGATATGTACGGATATGTACATCTACATATATGTACATATGTACCTACATACATAGAATTGGTTTCAGTGGATGTACATATGTATATAGGAATCTGCTGTTTTTAAAAAATGTACGACTTTCCGTGAACTGTTTTCAAAATAAAAATGTGCGACTTTCCGTGAACTATGTTCATACTATATGTCCCATATGTATGTATGTATATGCACATGCATACTAGTACTTATAAATATTTATACAGTAGGTACACATTTATTTGTTTGTACGAAATTAGTTCCGTTCTGTTGTTGCGAATTAAAAGCTTTTCAACTTTTTCCAACCTACATTCTTGTTTACTTATGTATGTATGTAGATTGGGGTGCATCACTCCTCATACAAAAAAAAAAAAATCAGTACAGTTCATTTATTAGTTTTTAAGACTTCCCATAAAGTATTTCGGACAAATATTAAAATTAACGTGCGCTGCACCGATTTGAAAATATCTAAAAAATCGGATTTTTATGAATAAAAATTGTTTTCAAAAATATTTTTTCCAAAGAACCATCCCAGCTGATACAAGTTAAAAAATGTTGAAAAATTGTATAAAACGAAATCAAAACAATACAAATTTTGAACTTTTTTTTCAAATCGGTCCAGCTCACGTACATCTTTCAGGACGATTCTGAACAGAAACTCACTGGGAGTTTTTCTCTTTTCCCTTTCCTCCTATCATGAACAAAAATTCCTTGAGGATTTTTTTATTTTAAATGACGGAGTTGAGCTATCAAAAAGGTTTCAAACAGCTCTTTCGAAGTTCCTCCCAAATTTTAGGGGAAAATGCTACTAGTTAATTAATGGGGGATTTCTTTTTCGGGAGAAACAAATTCCCGGAGGACAAACTTTTTATATTTTTTCGAAATAGTTTGGCGGAAGTCCCACGAACCATACCCAAAAATGAGCAAAAAATTAATATTTAGTATTTTATAGCTGACACAAAGATGACAGACCACCCGAAATTTAGTTGAAATAACATCTGACGAAGTTACCATGATTGCCATTCAACAAGTGGATCCAGTCGGGGCTTTTTCAAAACGACTGCCTCTTTGGAAGCTGTACTAGAGGACCTTAGAACATCAGTGACATTCGTACAGCTGCGGTTTATTTCTGAAGCATCGAAAGTCAAATTAACAAAACTATCGAAGTGGGCGTGTCAGCGCAAAATTTGTACGGCGCACAATGGTCTGAGAGTAGCAGAAAGTCCAAGACTCTAAATGCGCAACCAAGGTTTTTTATAAGATTCTAAACATGAATGTATAACAGATTCCCATATAAGCTGCCAAAAAAGTAACCGTGATCCGATTTTACTGAAATTTGATATTCAATACTTTTGTCCAGGAATGAAGAAGCATACAAAAGGATGTAGATTGGTGAACTTTTACGATCGCTACATTAGGATGCAGATATGCTAAATATTATCCGGTTTAAAAAAAAAAATAATAATATCATTTTATTGTTTTTGTATGAATGGTGGGCGTGGGCCAATTTTGATTATCTTTCAAATTTAAATATTTCTGGTTAAAACTAAGCTACCAAAGTTGTGTAGTGGGCGAGGCCGTTTGCCAAACTATGCGATTTGTCAGATTTCTTCATTCTTAAGCAATAATACTAAATACAGATAGTAAATTACAGGAACATCGGAGCATAATTAGTACTTTTTGCTATTGCACTGTACGGCTTCATCATTATTTCGGTCGAATTTTTCTCTTGTAAAAAAAGCGGACTCACGAGAGTCTTGAAACTCTTTCACTTGCATTCAAACAAATAGGAATAAAGAATCAAGTACGACAAGCGAATCAGTTCACTTTTCATTTTTCGTTTCCATGTATTTACTATGGGCGGATGAAACATTTTCGGGTGAATTTTTTTTTCGGGCGAAACTCAGGATAAGACAGAATATTTTTTGCGGTTACACTTTTACTAAATGTTACTTCTTCAATTTGTGGTGTGTGTTTTTACAAAAAGTGGGACACAATTTAAAACCGCCTCCGAATAGCAAATAGTTTGATAAGAACAAGGCTGCGTGATTTAGAATCCTTTTTGATTTTGAATCCGATTTTAATTAAGATACCTATTTGGTTTGCGATTTGATTCGTCGACCAAATAAGTAATACAATTTATTCGTGATTTGATTCGTTAGACAAAAAAAAATAAATTTTTCTTTGTGATTTAATTCATCAGCAACATAAGAAATTAATTTTATTGTGATTTCATTCGTCGACCAAATGAGAAATTCAGTTTATTTTGGATTTGATTCGTTGGACAGATAAAAAAACTATTTTTTTTTGTGATTTGATTCGTCGGACAAATAAAAAATTATTTTTTTTTTTTTGTGATTTGATTCATCAACCAAACAAAAAATAAATTTTATTCGTGATTTGATTTGCATTGCAAAAAAATAGAAAATCGTACTTGCGTAATATAAAAAAGTATTTTTTTAGGTGGAAAATCACGAATCAAATTGATTTGCACGACAAATCAAATCAAAAATAAAATTTATTTGATTATTGGTCCGACGAACCAAGTCACAAACAAATAATATGCATATATACATTTATATATGTATATATATATTTTTTTGAAAACAAATACATAATAAATTTATGTTATTTAGGATTTTGAATTCAGATATCAATTTGATTTTTGCATTTGTGATTTGACTAATTCAAAATCACGCTACCCTGTATGAGAAGCTTTTTCAATGCAGAAATACACTTGGTAGGTTTAAAGAGAACTTATATGGGTTTAAATGTAGCTCGAACCTAAGTCCTTTGGAGTGGACTTTAAAAGATTAAAAAGTGTAAAGGCCCATCCACATACAACTTTGGCGTTGCGTTGGCGCTGGCGTCGCTTTGACAGCAGCGCGAGTAAGGCCCGTGCTTGCTACAATGAACGCTTAGCACAGAATACTTTGGTCACTAAATTAACATACTAGCGGCTGATAAATCAAAATTTTTACATCAATAATTGCATTAAAAACTATATTTCTTGCCCGCATTTGATTAAAAATTAAAATTAAATCACATAATTTTGATTATTTAGAACAGCTGACGAACGACGCGCGCGAAAAGTTGAGAGTTGGCCATCTTTCTGCGTTGGGTTGGCGTTGCCCAACTTTGGTTATATGGAGACTTTCATATAAATACATATATTCATAGTCAGCTGTCGAAGCGACGCCAACGCCAACGCAACGCCAAAGTTGTATGTAAACGGGCCTTAACTCCTCTCCTCCTGACTTCTTCTTATTTGGCACTTCAACCGCTTGTCGGTTTTTCCGAATTCTTAATAGTTTTCATAGTTGGAGGAATCATGTAGCAAATGTTAAGCCGTTTTATGAGAATAGTTGGAATTTTGGTTTGTACTTTTGGATTTCCCACTCTTTAATTTAACCACAAGAAAAATATAGCAGCAATACCGAAACATAAGTTTTTTCCGTTTGGCAAAAAAAAAATTGTTTACGACCCACATACAAAACATGTTTTTTTTTTGCATAAACAAAAACATTAGTGGCCAATGGCGGGAGGGCGATGACCTTAAAGGAAAATGTATGCGGATGTGTATGTGGATGGATATGTATGCTTTATAAAGCATCCCACTGAGAAAATGGGTAAACACCTTACGAAAACACCATGTTTTCTTTCAGTTTTTAGTACATAAATTGTCATCATGGCCAATGTCATCTAGTAGTAAAGCACAAAATGAACACCTCCGACGGCACATTACGTTGTCAGTTGCAGAATAACGTGCCGCCGAAGTTATTTCCAAGCGCCGAACTACTCCGAGCGACTGTTCTGCATTACACGTAACTTACTTTGTAAAGCGTCTCAGAAGTTTGTCTGATACCAAATTTATACTCTAAATTCCGAATTACATAAGGAGTGGCTCAGAGGTATGTCTGATACGAAATATACAGTCCAAATTCCTACTTACTTACTATTTTGCTAAAGTAAGGCATAAGTTGCTGGTAAGGTAGTGCCCTTCACCCGGCGGTCCTTACCGCTTCCCTGCCGAATTTCCCTTACTTTAACAAAGTTGTAAGTAAGTAGGAATTTGGTCTGTACATTACGTATCAAACATACCTCTGAGCCATTTTACAAAGTAAGTTACGCATAATACAGAGCAGTCGCTCGGAGTAGTTCGGCTCTTGGAAATAACTTCGGCTGCACATTATTTTGCAACTGACAACGTCATGTGTCGTCGGAGGTGTTCATTTTGTGCTTTACTAGTAGATGACATTGGCAATGATGACAAACTGAAACTAAACATGGCTTACCTCGTAAGGTGCTTACCTATGTATTTTCCCAGTGCGATAGGCCATACATACATACATACATACATATGCGTATATGTATATTGACCAACCTTATTTACTACCACGTGGTTTTTATTTATGTTTTCCTTCATTTTTTATTTGCTCAGCGAGCAATGCTCATATTTTTCGAATGAAATTTAAATTGCAACAATTTACTAAACCGAAAACCAAAGTATGTACATACATATGTATGTGCATATTGACTAATCATATTGTTCGTCAGCGATATGAAGAACGTAAAACATCAACGTGGCAGAGCGGCGGAACTTATATCCAAAACTAAACTAGAAATTGTTAAGGTATACATACATCACTCGCTCTCTTAAAAAAACCAAACACATGTATGTAAATATACTAAAATATATATATAAAAAGATATGTACATATAAAGCCAACAGATTACATGCTTAATGTCATGCTCAGACTCAGCCGGCATAGTTTGTAAAGAATACGTCAACAAAACAGAAGTTCAACAAAAATAGAATATTCTGGTAAATTTCCAATAGTCAACAGTTGCAGAGCCAAAGAATGTGACTATGTGTTATAGCTCTTAAGTTGCCTTTACACGGGTCGATTTATGTCGTTCAACCAAATTCAACCAGTGTAAATGACAATTCAACCGCAAAATTTAAGTGTTTTGGCTGGTCGGTTTTTCAGTCAATTTTCCAGTCGACAGAAATCGACCCGTCTAAAAGCGGTTTTACTCTTACATACATACACATGTCCATATCTGTTATACCAATCTATATATGTATACATACATAGGTACATACAAACGTACATATATATTTTACAATAATTTTTCTCTCTTTATTTTCACTTTGCCTCTATGAAACTCAGAGCATTTCAGGCGCCAATTCCAAAAACAAAAAAATAATATTAAAGAAATTAGCAAAGCACATGGTCGGTCTTTAGCAGCTGGTGGGCACGAGAATTACCCCATCTACATACTTGAAACCATTTGGACGCAGAGCGAAGCAGGCGAAAGATGTGCGCAGTGTGCAAAGCATTTAAATTTAATAGCAGAAAGCAGTGGCGAATTTCTTAACGAGGCCGACCAACCGAAAACACAGTGAGTGATGAAATATTATTGAATATCACTTAATTTAATAAATGCATAAATTTTATGATTAAAATGGTGTGACAATGTATAAAACATATAGTATGTATACATATATGTCACGTATGGATTGAAGAAATTACCATACATGTGCTTTGAATATTCTACATTGCCGAAAAGTAGGCAACACTTTTGGAAATTCTTCTTGCTTTAGCTGATCGCAGAATTTGTGGAACCACGAGGAAAATATGCATAAATTCTCTTATCACAATTAAATTTCCGTTTTCTTCAATAGACTGTTCTTTAATTCAAGGTCAATGAATAATGATCAATATTTATTAAAAATCCTTGATTAATCTTAGCTGTTTTGTAAAAGTGTAAAACAAAAAACAAAATCTTTGCCAATGTAAAAATGTCTGGTACTTGATCTAACAGTCATCGCTGATACTGACTATAGCGCTGAAATCTAATAGTATATTCATGCAAAATATAAGGTTAATATTAATATCATTGATGACTGTTAAGGGTGTTTCAGCTTAACTATGAATATTAGGAGTAATACTGGGTAAATGGATAAGCAGAAGTTACTCTTTAATATCCAAATATATCTTTTCACTAGGCAGATAACTGCACTGCTCCAGTTAGATACTAGAGAGTAAACACTTTGTGCAAATAATAGCGATATATGTAACTGGGGCGTATTCTTGGTTCGAATCACACAATTAAAATATTTAAAACTATATCCAAATCAATTGGCATCTTTACGCACTAAAGCATCGATATGCAATTTTTTATTCATTCAATTCCTATATATGGTACATATGTATGAATTAATATATGTATAATAATTATCTACGACCCCCCCAAGACTACAATTTATGCATGCATTCAATTTCAAACTCTACGTAAAATTATAAATCTTCAACAATTAATACCTACGGACGTTAAATAGCTCGTTCTTTCTCTTTAAATACTAGTAACTTCATTACTTAAAAGTAACATCTTAAAAAACTCCCAAATATATGGCAATGATGATAGCAATGACCGCCAGCACAGTAGAAATTAGTACATTATTTAGCAGCTGAAAAGTAGAAAGCAACGGGTTTAGAAGTTTTAAGTGGTATTAAATTTAATTATACCATAATCACTCACCTTATCTTGCCACTTGCGATTAGCTATGCACTTGCTGTACGGCATGCTGGAGAAGGAAACACTATTATATAATGGCACCCAAGCGCTTGGAAACCAACGGAATAGTAACGTGTCAAGCCATTTACGACAGCGAAAACTTGCCCGTTTGGTGAGATCACGCATCTGTTTTTAAATGATGTAATATTTTTATTAAAAATATAAAATATAAATTTTAGTACATATATTTACCTCAACATAATTATACATCGCCAAGTCGCAAATGGCATGCGCATCACGCCAACGCAACTCAGTAAATTGCTGCAATACTTCAGCGGTACTTAAACTTGTTTGATTAAATAGCGACATTAGCTGCGTACAATCTTCCATGCCTGCATTTAAGCCTTGCCCATAATAGGGTACCATAGCGTGTGCAGCATCACCTAGAACTAGCGCCTTCGAGCCGTAGTGGTATGGATAGCACTGGAAATTAGGAAATATTTTATTATAAACTGGAGCTTCGGTGAAAATTTATATAATATAATTACTTATTTGCGTTATATTGAAAATAGAATAAAGTCATTAGATTAAATAAATTATAGAAAATATAATAGTCCACCATTTACCTTAATCGAAACTAAATGTTGTGGTCGTGTTTTGAAGAAATCTTTAATCAGCCTTTCCTCGCCGATCAGTGGCACTGCATCAGCGTAGTATTTGTGGAAAAAGTTTAATAAATCGGCGGTAGTATGTATGGTTGCAAAAACTTTGAACGGCATTGAAAGTGTGACAGTAAACGACTTATCTTGATTGGGCAGCGCTATCATCATGAATTCATCACGTGGCCAAATGTGTAAATAATTCTCAGGCATTTGAAACTGTTATATAAATTTATTTAGTTCTTAAGGGCAACACAAGAACGGCCATTAACTGCAAAAATGCCATACCTCGCCATTTTTTGCTGGTATACAAAGTTCCAAATAACCATGTTCAATGTACTCCTGTGAATAATTGAAGCCTGGCTTCTTGACCAATTGCTGACGCACCGAGCTGAAAGCGCCATCACAACCTACAACCAAATCTGCAAAATCTTCGACAACTTCCTTAGTTTGCATGCTGCAAAAGGAGAAGAAAGATAGTTGTGTTTGTAAAAAAAAAAAAGTATTCCACAAAAGTTGTGGGGAATGCTGGTGACAATTTTTTCCAAGATACTAAACTGGAAAGTTCCGGTAACACAGACCCTACTGTCGTGAGAACGAAATAAATGCCATGTTGTTGATATCACAACCACTAGCGGTAGAATAAGTGAATATATTTTCTAAATAATTTTATTAGCATGGTTCTTTATATTGTATAAATTTAATTTATCAACTCACCGCTTGAATTCCATACGACCCTCACTCAGATTTACATAATTCAATTTATGTTCGAAATGTCGATGAATATTGGCATATTTTTCACCCGCTAAAGCGAAACAATTGAAAACTTTTAGGCAAATGCCAAACTATAGTCCAAACAAAGCTTACCATTCAACAGCACTTCATTTAAATATTTTCTGCCCACCGAGTAGAGGCATTGATGCGTGCAGGGATCGTACAGTACAACGGTGCGATTGCCTTTAATATCGTGTAACATACGACCACGCATGGGAATGGCTGTTGCGAGTACTTCCTGCTCCAAATCCACTTCGGCAAGCGCTTTGCGGCCACGTTGCGACAAAGCCAAATTGATGCTACGACCTTGCACCAACTCCGCATTGCGTATATCTTCACGATATTCATACAAATGTACTTCATGTCCTCGACGAGCAAAGCTGAGGGCGGCTAATGAACCGACCTGGAAATAAAGGAAGTGTATTTTGTTTTTATTTATTATTTTATTTTATTTTTTATTATTAATAAAGAAATATATGAATAACTTTAATAAAACGTAAGAATCGTCAGTATTGCAGTCCTTTGTCGGCTTAAATCATTGCCACAGCGTGTGTCTTATCATTTTCTCTCCCCTTATCACTTTAGATTTTTTACATAGCCATATAGCGTTTTACTTGCTGACACTGAATGTTGTATCTCTCGTGTTTTAACCCGTTTCAATCACTTTCCAACTATTTAATCAATTATAACAATTGTATGCGCATATTAAACAGTCAGTAAGCAAAGTGTTGGGATTTAAATTCGTGTTTTTTTCAGACTTAATAATTACAATGTATATACGTATGTAAATAATATATACTAGTGTTCGCCCAGCGGTTGAAATTCAACCGATAAAATTAAGGATAGTTTATGTAAGTTGAATGAGCTAAAATAACATTAGTTGGAATGGGTTAAGTGGAGGGGAGTTTAGCTTAGTACTTGGCATAACATAACATAACCATAACATAAGAATAAATAACATAATATATGAAGCATAACACACCACAATATAACACCGCACACTCTTCAGTTGTATTTCCTTTTTATCCATTTTTTTCACCTCTATCTAAATCTTATTTATTTTGGTTCATTTTATGCCAAATGATGTTGCCTTTGATGCCACATCAAGTGATATCATGTCATGTGGTGAAATTGGGTGTGGTGAGCTGCGGTGTGGTGGAATTGGGTGTGGGAGTTACGGTGTGGTGAATTTAGGTGTGGTGGATTCAGGTGTGGTGAGTTAAGTTATGGTGAGAAAGTTGAGGTGTGGTGAATAAAGGTGTGGTGAATTTTGGTGCGGTGAGTTGAGGTGAGTTAAGGTGTGGTGAGAAATTTGAGGTGTGGTGAATTAAGGGTGGTGGATTTAGGTGTGGTGGATTTAGGTGTGGTGGATTTAGGTGAGGGGGTTAAGGTGTGGCGAGTTGAGGTGTGGTGAACTTAGGTGTGGGGAGTTAAAGTGTGGTGAATTAATGTGTGGTGAGCTCAGGTGGAGTAAGTTTTTAAGTTAAGATGAGTTAAAGTTAAGGGGTTATGATCTTTATCCTTATCTTCATCTTCATCTTCATCTTCATCTTCATCTTCATCTTCATCTT